TTTGCTTTTTTTATTGACGCTAGATCGAATATTTACTGATATTTGAAGTGTTTTTTAAGATTTTAATAGCACTAACGCGATCTTATCGATCGAAATCAATCTTAAAAGTATTCGATAGCAGGCTGGAATCCCGAAAATAAATCGTCTCTCAATGTTCCATGCACTCTTCAATTCCTAATCGAATGACAGTCCATTTATAATTGTTTTTTTTTTGTTGTTGTTTGTTCTCAAATTCAATCTCAGGAATTGCATTTTTCAAAATTAATATCTCAACTCTTTGTCGATTATAAATGAGTTTTTGGTGTTTTTTAATTAATTTTTAGCGCCGTAATTGAGATTGCTTTTTGGTTTGCTTTTTGGCTTTTTGGCTTTTGGTTTTATTCATGAATTGCTTATCGAATGTTTATCAAAATGCATGGTTGGATTAATGGATGGTTAGATTGATTAATGGGTCGATTCGTATTTGCAATTTAAGTTGTTTTTTGATTTCTTTTGGAATTGAATTATTCGCTTATTTGATCGGATATTTAATGTACTTAATCTATTGGACCTGCTGGCAGTGCATTCCAGAATCATCTTATCAGCGTTTCCCACACCATCAGAGCTGTGGTCTGTGTGTCCGTGGATCCGTTGCATCACATCATTGCCGTACGCTATCAGAGGCTTCGCCTTGGCCCTCTGAGGGAGCGAGAGATAGATGGAGAGTGGGAGAGCGAATGCATTTCATGGCCAAGTTTGTGTATCTTTTACCGCTCTCTCTCTCTCTCTCTCTCTCTCTCTCTGGTCCGCTATCAGTGCACACAGAGATGCAGATGCTCAGATACTTTTCTCACTTTTGGCGTTCACCTTGCGAATCCTACTGCCGCTGCCGATAACGTCACGGCAAGGACGTCCCTCATTCTATCTGTGCGTGTAACTGTAACAAGCGTATCTGGCAGATACCTTGCTGCCAGTGGTGGTGGTGCTGCTGCTGCTGCTGCTGCTGCTGCTGCTGCTGCTGCTGCGGTTGTGGCTCAAGGCTAATGCTAAGGCTAAGAGTGTGGCGGCAGGTAGACATGTAGGCTCTACGGCTCTGCTACCTGATCGCCCTGCCTCTCACCTCTTCTCTCCTCACTCTCTCGTGCTCTTGTGTGTGGCAGGATCAGCGTGCAACAATGACAGCAAGTGTGGCAAAAGATTTACCGCCAATTCTGCTGGTGTCTGTCTGCCACAGTTCTTGGGCATTGCGTAAGTTCTGTGTATGGATGTGTATGGATGTGTGTGTGTGTGTGTGTTTGTGTGTACGAGTATCTTCTCCATGCGCCGCTCTCTCCCGTATCTCTCGTATCTCGTATCTGTATCTTCGTGTGTGTCTGCCTGTGCTGTGCTCTCGGGCAATGTTTTGGATGCGATCTCCCTGCCCCGTCTGTCTGTCTATTAGTTGATACGAATATTTTCGTGTATTTTCCGCTCAGTCTGTATTCAGATCTTCAGGCATTCAAGTCGCTGCCACATGCGACTGCCACACAAAACCAAAAATCTAAAACAAAACTCGCCTAAATCAAGAACTTCTCAGTGTGTCTGTGTTTTTTTTTTTTGCAAGTGCTGCCAGTGATATGCCGTAAAGTGTCATAAAATAAACATTTTGAAAGAATAAAAAGTACCCCAATAAAAAAGTGAGTTAAATGCGCAAAAAGAAACATTCTGCTGCCAAAAGATCAGCCAGAGGATCAATCCATATCCATCCTGTGCTCCAGCTCCTTCGCCTTCAATCGCTCTCCCCCTGGGCACCCCTTCCTTGCTTTCATTTTCCATTCAATCAATCCAATAACTTGTGAATGAAAGGCAGGGAACGAAGAAGAACAGCAATAACAAATTCGCTTCAATTTGTTTTCTTGAACTTTTCCATTGTTTCGTGCTAACAGAATGGCAATAACAGCAACAATAACAATCATAGCATCAACACTGCCAAAACAGAGAGAAAAATGGCCAGAAGATTCCCCAACCTCATGGTGTGGGTGGTGCCGATGGGGCATGAACCTCACGAAGTGGTCAGAAAAGAATTTTAAAGCAACAAAATTATCCAAACATTACCCTACCTCATGGCTTGACGGGGCATATGGATACATGCAATGCAACACGTGAGGTACTCAAGACACTGAAAACAGAAGCCAGAGGAAGGCTAAATGTCAATCGAAGCCCTTCCATCCATTGCGCTATTCATAATCGCATTCATTTATCAGACTTAGTCACGAATAGGCCCTCCCGCCTAAGCACTGATTATGCAAATCACAGGGGCATCAATAGGCGAAGAGCAGCACAGTAGGAGTGTAGGAGTGTAAGGGCTTATGGGCTCGCATGACTCATGAGTGGCAGATTACACATGAATCGGAATTCGAAATTCCAAATTCCTGTAGAGAATTAATAAACTCTGGCTGGAAAAGCGGCACATATTTCCTGAAGAATGTCTCGCTATTTTTTAATATATATATTATTATTATTTTAAAGGGTCATACAACTCCCTTTTCCATCCCAAATCAATCAAACAACTATTTAGGTAACTCGAACAAGAAACTCTCTCCATCAAACGATTTCCAATGCCATTGCAGGGTACTGCCGGGGAACTATAAAGCCGATTCTTATTCTGTGATTCTCTACCCCCTCTTTCTCTGATTCGCCCAATATTTCAGCTTATTTGTCTTTTGGCTGATTTTCATTTTTATTGGGGGCTCAAATTTCGTGCCCGGCTTGGAGTTCTGTGGGCATTGCGGCTTTTCTGTGGGCTTGGGGGCTCTGGGGGCCTAAGTGCCAGCGAATGTAAATCGAATCGAATCGAATGAATGCCTTTTTTTATGAATTCGGCACGCGTCTGCGTGCGCATTTCTCAGACGCGAGTTTCAGGTCTTCTGCTGCGTGTCCATGGCCTGTGCCAACAACAGCAGTCAGCAGTCAGCAGTCTGTGGCATACACATTGATCCGTTCTGTGATTGCTGATCGTGTGTGCCCCAAATTGGCTTGGGGGTGTGGGGAGAGAGAAGTGCATTTTGCAGATCCCCAGTCCCCTTCGATTTTCAGATATGTTTTCGCTTTCAGAGTGGATTTTGCAACTGTGAAATGATTCCAGCACCTGCTGCGATCGCCGCAGTCAAGATTTTCCATCCATTTATCCGCCTACTCCGTTCGTAATTGAAAACTAATTGCGTTTTCTCACGCCTGATTTTCCCAATATGAAAACTTTTCACACGCATTTCGGTTTCAGTTTGTTTGGAAATCAATTTACAATTTGAATACACAATTTATGATCCATCCATAAAGTCGTGGACTCTTGGGAGACGGAAGAGCGAATTGAGGAGGCATCCCAGATGGAAAGATGAAAAAGCGTGAGCGTTTTGGGCTGTAAATTGGCGTGTGAAGTGCCTTCGATGGGGCACGTAGACACACCACAGCCAGAGATCAGATCCGCAGAGGGGCATAGAAAGAGTGAGAGGGAAGTGCTGATTCTAGATAATTCTGTTGGTTATTTTGCACACGAGTTTTGCTATTCCATTATGGCCTTGCATTGCCCTGCCTTCTCTTGCAGAGACTATTACAGGGTACCACAAAGAACAAAGCGCATTGATTGTCTCTCTCTTTCCATGGATGATGTCAGTGGCTGATTTGCAAGATACATATGCGAGCAAGGGGGAAATATATCAATTATAAATTAGATATCATCGAACGAGGGCCCAGACTTCAGACAGTCGGAGACGTTAACGGTGGTAACGGGCACCCGTTCAAGTGTCGCCAGGCAGCAGCCGGTTTCGGGCAGGCCGTCTTTTGGCAGCCCCGCCAAGTGTCTCTCCATCGCTCTCTGTCTCTGGCTTTGCCTCTGTCTTGAGTGATTGTTAAGCGGCTGAGAGCCACCACTTGGGCTGCCTCCAAGTCCAGCTTTTGCTTTGCTGCTGCTGTAACTTCTGTTTTTACGAGCATTTCGGTTCGTTTCAGTTTTGCATTTTCCTCCGGCCCCACGAAATAAAAACAAGAACTGAAGGCTTAACGATCGGATGGTAAAGTAGTAGATACCCTTGCGGATATATATGAAAATATCGTTACCTTTATGTAGATAATGCAAAAGATATGCTCTCAGTGTTTGGGTTCGACTTTATCATAGCAGCAGGAACTAGACGCCCATTTTGTATGCCAAAAATCTATTGGAAACGGCAATACCCTCTCCAAACGAAAGGGTACACCACGTAAAAGAGATGCAAAGCCAGAAAACTGGTTGACACTGTAAGCGAGTTGCCATAAAATCGTTGACAAATCAGCAGCAGCAGCAACAGCAGCAGCAGCAGCGTCAGCGGCTATCCACGTGCGTGGGGGCAATAGGCCGACAGCCAGAGCCACAACAACCGTAACAGCATTCAAACAAGACCCAACACATTCAAAGATACAATTCGGAATCGGAATTGGAATCGGTTGGAAGCATTCGAGGCTTCTGATTGAATAATTCTTGGCCACTAAGAGAGAGACAGAGAGAGAGAGAGAGAGAGAGACATTGACATAGTCGACTGCATAATGAACCCGCCATTCTAATGGCACACATTTTGTACACAACTGTACCTCTCTGCCTTCCCCCTGCAAACACACACTTGCAGCTAATTGAACTACTTTGAGCATCGACGTGGTAATGGCAATTCGAAAATGAATGTCCAGATGGTTTTTTTCACTGCCTCCCGCAAACCAAATGGCCACCCCATTGGGTTTTATAATAGATATAGCTACACAGATATATGTATATATGAGGAATGGAAAATGCGGAAGAAAGGGAGGGAGTGAAGGCCCTGACATGCGATGCAGTTCGCTGATGGATAGCCAATGAGATCACATATGACGCCATGACAATTCTCGGCACTTATTCAGGGGATTGGGGCCTCAACTGTGGCATTTTCCAGCAATCCCATAAATCGCAAAATAATTGATTTACTTATTTACGACATTATTAGTTATCTTTGCATTATAGTTTGGGTTTTGTTTGTACTTACTTTGTGGTGCAATTCTGAAACCAAATCGATTGGAAGATTCTGTAAATAGAGAGCAGGCAACGGAATATGAAGTAGTGTAAATATGTGGGAGGGTTACTATAAGTGGCAGATATAGGGAGAAACTGGGGAGGTCCACACATGCACATTGCTGGATGCTGAATGCTGAATGCTGATAAGCAAGAACTTGGCCAGAAGATATGGGATATGCTGAAGCAGCAACGAGACGTTGCAGGAAGGCCGCAAAAAAAAGCGAATAGGAATAACAGGACAAGACAGCCAGAAAGAGAGAGACGGAGAGGGAGACGGAGAGGGAGAGGGCGACGGACACGACTCATGTGCACGCACTCGTTTGGTTACGAGTCGTCCAGGCGTCCTCTGTGCGTGTTTGTCAGGATGCGGAATCCTGAATCCTGAATCCTGAATCCAGAATCCAGGCTACGAGATGCGGAATACGGGATACGGGATTGAATCATTGAATCGAATTGAATACGTGCGAGCACGAAGCAGCAGCAGCAGCAGCAGAGCCAACCCAACCCAACGCGCAATCGCTACGTGTCCTGTGTCCTGTGTCCTGTATGGATGCTGTGTGTCCTGTGTGGCTTCTGTTTTGTGTTGTTATGTATTAGCAAGATGTCAATGTATGTTTGCAAAGGAATTATGTAGAGGCATCTTCTCCTCCGATGGACACACGCACACACACACACACACGCGCATGGAACGTACCCAAAAAAAAGTGTGTCCGTGGCCATTCCATGCCCGCGTTAAAGGCATCAAATGCTGTCCGATTCTGACAAACAAACAAACAAACAGAACCGGGAACAGGCAAACAAAATCTACAAAAAAATGAGAAGAAAACCTGCGGCTTTGCTGATGTCCTATGCCAATGCCCACAACCATTCGCATTCGCATTCACATTCACATGTGTCCTCTTCCTTTCATCTGGTGCCCCCAAATCGACATCAGTTGCTGATTTTTAATTAAAAATTTGCGACGTGTGAAGTTGATTTCAATTTGGGCTCCACGAAGCTGACAGATGAACTGATATAGGAACTGAGGCTGGCTACACAGAATGGAAGAGCTAGAGCCATGACATGCCACATGGACATGGACATGGTCCTCTCCCATTCTATCCTCTCCTATACTATTCCATCCTTCTTCTGACCCTCTGACGATGTTCGTGACTGACCAGCGGATAAAGAAGCGGAGGCAGACGCAGAGGCGGGGGGCCAGTTGATGGTTCTCGCGTGGCTGAAATAACATTTGATTCCTGGTGACAGCCGCCGCCCCCGGAACAGCAGCAGTCATCGCATTCCATGAGTTCTTCTTCCTCCCGTCCCCCTGTCACGAATCTCTTGAATGGAGCACCGCCCCCAAAATGGCGGGCGGCTTCATAAATATAGATTAGCAAATCGAAACAGGAAATGGAACAGCACATTAAACGGGTTGGAGGATTGGGTGCAGAGAAATTGCCAAATGCATTTCGAAGGATGTCAGTGTCAATTCGAGTATCGATTTCAGACTACTCTATAGATCAGTGGAAAGACTGTGGATTTTTGTACTTTAAAGCGGAAGCTTGTTCGTTATTTAAGATGCGAATTGTATTGAATGTGATTCGAATTGCTGATTTATTCAGGCATCACTCGTGACTTCAGTGGCATCTTCCTCTATGCTCCATATTCGGTTTACCTTTTGCGATATATGTGGAACATCATCGATGACGCATGATGATGAGCTTTGTTCTTCCCACAAACTTATTCGTATCGCTCATCGGCTGCAATCAAGTGGCAAGTGCAACCAAGCGACCCCTGCCACCGGGCAACATGCACTTCATATTTGGGCTCTAATGCGGGTGTCAAAGTCATTGTTATATATACACATATACATGTATATACACACATAAATGCGTGGTGTGAGTACATATAAATACCGTTATGGCATTAACCTTATCAGGCAGAAGACACTCGACCAAAAGGTACTTGACATTCACACACGAACTCACACACGCACTCGCATTCACGCACTCTTAGGGCAAGCGATTCAATGAGATTTCGAGTAGAGCAGAGTTCCGCTGCAAGAAAAGCAAAGGGACGAACGGACGGACAAACGGACGGACGGACGGACAACGGGTCGTGTCGTCGTGAACGGTTTTTATGACCGATACGCGACTGAGGGAAGGGGCCGGGCCAGGGCTATTAACAAGTAATAATGACGACAACAGCAAGAGCAACAACAGCAACATCAGCAGCCATAAACTTGATGAGAAGAGTGCAACAGTTACGAGAGTCGCAGTCGCGGTCGCGGTCGCGGTGGCAATGGCAGCGGTGGTTATGGTGATGGTGATGGTGATGGTGCCACACACTTGAACCCATAAATTCTAAGAACCCGCAGATAACCCACATATATCTGCATAAACACCACACCATCTACTCCTCCCTTGGCCCCGCCTGGACGCCTTGTGTGTAAACACTTGTGCGTGCCCCCTGTCTGAGAGACGTGCTTAAGCAAAGTGCAACAGCAACAGCAGCAGCAGCAGCAGCATGCCACATGCCACAACAAGCAACAAGTTGCTGCTTGTTTTTGTTATTGTTGCCCCGTTGATTATGACAACACACATTGCCGCACCGCTGACTGATCTGTGTGGAAGCCACTATATGAACGCGTCTCTCTCTCTCTCTTTCACTTTGGGTGTTCCAGAACTCTTTTGACTCTCCCTTGGAAGGGAGCGTGTGGAGTGTGGATGCCACTATCTCTTTGTGTGTGACTCTAAATCCATCTGCATCTTTGGGCACATCTTTGAATACAGTGGCAGTGGCAGCCATTAAACATTGACAACAAATTGTCGACCTTTCAGTGAGCAGAGAATAAATATTTGTATCGTTAAAGAAATGCAATCAGGCTGCTCAAGTGTTTTGGGGAATTTACAGAGTATTAAGTAAGAAATTAAACCGAGACTTTAAGCAAGTAAATTCTTCAAAACAAATCCAAGCAATTATCACTTTGGCTTTTCTTTCAAGCGAAGTACACAAGCACTTCTGAGGAAGTTGACAACATTCTTTGCTTATTTGTTGACCATTTTCAAATATAATTCAAAGAAAATTGTGCAGCAGTTTCGCTCGGTCGCTAAAGACGCTGCATGGTTATTGTTATTGGCAATTCTTTTCCAGAATATTCTACAAATAGAAAATATAAGAAGTAATTCCCTAAATTATCCCATAGTCCATTGGGAGAAGTCCATTGGTTCTGGCTCTGGACTCGGGGCTTTGTGTGCGGCCTCTGAGAACCGGTATAAGTTTCAGGCCACACAAAAATAAGGTGCATGGGTAGGGAAGGGGACGGGTAATCGTGAAACAGCTGCTTCTCTGAAGCAGCAAAAGTTGCCACAAAAACAAAGAGGATGGGAATGGGAATGGGAATGGGATTGGGGAAGGGGAAGGGGTAAAACACATTGGGTGGCAAGTACTAAACGTTCTCTCCATCTCTTTCTGTCTTCTGATTGCAGCGATTGATAGAAGAAAGCAATCCAGGAACTGGAGGATTGGTCATTGGATTGGATTCACGATGGCATCATCGAGAACTGAAGGTGGAAGTGGAACTAGAAATAGAGCTGGTTCGAGCCGCTGGCTGATAAACTTCCTGCTGGCAGTGGCCGCCCTACATCTGGAAGAAGGAGGTGGAGCCCATGCCTTGCCCATCACATCGCGTCCCATCGAGGGCAATGCCCAGCGGATGGCCTGGGACGAGTGGCTGAGCCTGCCGCTGGAGCAGAAGAGCCTCGAGAAGGAGAAGAAGGTGACGGCCAAGTCGATATTCACGCTCCCCTTCCGCCACTGTCCGCCGGGGCATACGCTCTACAACGAGCACTGCATACCGCAGATCAACATCGATCCCGCCGATCTCCTCAAGCAGGAGCTGATCTACGCCAATGCGGGGCCTCCCGGCTCTGGCAGTCCCACGGCCATCATCACGGACTACGACTACAGCGAGGACGGCAGCGAGGAGATAACCGGCGATGAGCTGCTCTACGACCTGGAGCCACAGTCGCAGCAATCAACAGGAGAGGGCGAGGACCAGGCCCTGCCCAGTGCCGATGCCCCATTGAAGTTTAATATATTCGAAAAGAAGTTTCCCACGGGACCGGCCACCGGTGGGGAGTTCTCACCAGAGGATTCGCCCGAGGAGGAGACAGCCAGAGTGCCACCAATAAATGTGGCCACATCAACCACTAGCACCACCACCACCACGCCGAGACCCACGGCCACAGCGACTCCGCATCCGCATCCGCATTCGCTTCCAAATCCAAAGCCAACTCCCAGCAATCGCATTCCTGAAGGAACAGGAGGAGGAGGAGGAGGAGATCTCCAGGCTGCTTCCAGCAATGCGCTGTCCACGACATCGTCCACCAGCAGCAACATTGACATTGGCAACATTGCGGCAATTGTGGTGCCAGCGGGGGGTCAGCCGACGCCCCAAGATGCCTCCTCATCATCCGTTCTGCTGGTGACAAGCGCCCTGACGACTGCCGCTTCGAATGCGGATGCAAATGAGAGTGAAAAAACGAATGCGAACGCGAATGGAAATACGAACGGCAGTGGAATGGGAAAGTTTAAGGTGAATGGCAATGCGGAGGCGGAGGCGGATCTGGCTCAGCTGCTCAAGGTCGATGCATTTCTGCCGGCCTACGAGGGCAGCAGCATCGAGCTGCTGCCGCCGCCGCCGCCCTTCAATCATCGTCGTGTGGCGCCGCCGTTAAGCGCCGATCAAGATGATCCAGATACAGAGCAGGAGATGCATAAGGATATGGATATGGATATGGATGAGAGAACCACCACAGATATTGTGGATGCAAAGGACGAGGTCACTACTGACACAACGGAGACCACCGCAACCACCACCGTTGTGGAGGCGGAGACAACAATGGAGGAGTCATCGTCATCGTCGTCATCATCATTACCATCGCCATCTCCAGCATCTCAATCTTCAGCACAGCATCCGCAAGCGCATCAGAAAGAAGAACCAGAGATAGATGAAGGTGGAAATCGCCTGCTTTTGATAAAATCGAAAGTGCAACCGGTTCAGGTGACAGCAGCAGCATCGGCAGCAGCGACATCCACAACATCCACACAGTCCACAACCACGACCACGACGATTGCAGCTGAAACCCAAGAAGCTGCCGCCACCGAAGACGACCGGTTTCGTTATCAGCAGATCCCCAAAGATGTGCCTGCCACAACAACCACAGAGATTCCCACCACAACCACCTCCAGCAGCAGTAGCAGCAGCAGCAGCAGCAGCAGCAGCAACATCAGGAGCAACATCTTCAATGGAGAGCACCCTTTGCTGGGGGAGTTGGCGGAGGCGGAGAGTGACAATTTAATGACAAATACCATTGGTAGTGAGATTCATGTTGATGAGGAATTGCGAAAAATAAACGAACTGGTAAAGGAAACGCGGCGATTTTTGCAACAGCAGCAGCAGCCAACATCCAGCAGCAGCAGCAGCAGCACTGAGGCATCATCAACGACTTATGCCACAGAAAGTACTACAAATTGGTCAAAGCTCATGCAACAAACTGCAGCTAAAGCATCAACAGAGACAACTGCAATAACAAGAGCTGCAACAGAGAGCACTACCAGCAATGTTGCAGATAGCACCATAACAGCAGCAACATCTACAACAGCAGCAACATCACATTTAAGTATTAATACAAATCGTAGCAATAGAAATAGTAAAATAATTAGAGTAGCGCAAGCTGAAGATGATCTTGTAGCAGATGAAACAACGACAGTGGCAGCACCAACAGCAACATCCACAGAAGCAACATCCACAGCAGCAACACCCAACAGCAGTAGCAGCAGCAGTAGCAGCAGTAAGGATGATGATGATGAATATACACCGTTCTGGTGGTTGCCGAATATTGGCTGGCGCCTCGATCGCCAAGTCGACAGGAATGGCGAGGATCGGGCGCTGTTGTTGCGCTTCTTTAGCACATTTCGAGCGGGCGATGGAGCGATGTCCTCCACGCTGCCACCGCGACGCTAACAGCCAACAGCTAACAGCCAACAGCTAGCATCAGCAGTTGAGAGAGTAGATAGGGCGAGAGATCTGTGCTCCCTGTGGCTCTTGTAACCGTGAAGAGAGTCGCCTGGAGCAACAGTGTTGATCAGCGCCGAGCAGGGTTGAGCAGCGCAGGGTGTAGTGTCGTGTGTCAGCAACAGCGTTTTCAATTCGTGTTGAAGTCTGTCCCCAGTTGTTCGTTCACCTTTACACCAAAACCAATCAACGGATCCCCTTTGGATCTTCTACTTTTTGTATTCTTTTCTATCTTTTGTATATCCCAGCCAGTCCTTTTATGTTTTAGTCTTTTATCAATGCCAAAATTCCCTAGATCCCCCGAATTTGTAAATAGCAACAACAACATTTGTTTCATTATTATGATTACTTCTTGATTGGCATTGTTTTTTCTTTACATATTTAATTTCCCCTATTTTTTTTTTGTGTTACAATATTTGAAAGTGCTGCATGTTTTAAGTTGTTGATTTAATTTTAGTCAGAGGTGTTTTTTTTTTATTACAATAGTTTTATATGGCACTGCTGCTGCTGCTGTCGTTGGTGCCGCCGCCGTCGGAGAAACCTTAGCAATATTTAATTGTGATTATTTACGGAATAGAACCCCTAGACCTAAGAACCATATAAATGTATTTTGTAAATCCAGCGGAGTGGAATGGAATCTATCGATGTATTGTATTTTTTTTTTATGAACTAATATTATTATTATTATTATTGTATTGTATAATCCAGCATTTGTTGTAGCTCTGTCTCTGTGTATATACATTTAATTTTAAAGATGGTTTCAGGATGCCACCACAAAGATGTCTCTGTATCTTCTTGCTAGCACTTAAGCGTACTATTTATGATATTCCCCCAACACACACCCACACTCGTATTGTAAACCAAACTAAAAGCTAAACAAAACCCAAACTAAACGTAGTGCATGTACATAGGAAATAGCGATCTGCGTTCGTTTCGATCGTCTTGCCCACAGGATACAGTCCCTGTGTCCCCCTATGTCTCTGTGTATCTCTGTATCTATGGCCACGCAAAGAAAGTGTGAAACGAAACGAAAGATGTGTTTTTTTTTTTTGTCTCAATTGAAATTCTACCAACAACCAAAGTTCTGAAGAAAAACAAATACGAAAAATTGCTGCCTTTTAATTTGTTTTGTGGGGGTCTGTTCTGTGATTTAACAGCACGACAATTGTCGCTTGTGGCACGCCGCTTTTTGTGGTAAGTTTTCCACGTATGAATTGGCTGCGATTATGCGGGATTAAGAGTAGGCAGCGAACAGAGCGAACTTCAACGGCCAGCCAGCCAGCAGGGCAAAACGGAAAACTCATTCAACTGTAATAGAGCGGCCATGCTGCCCAGGGCTCCCCTTGCCCGGAACTTTATGAAGATACACCTAACCTTCCCACGACGCTCTCTGGCCGACACAAAGGTCGCAGAGCAAGCCAAACCAGAAACAAAATTGAAGAATATTTCGCAGGTTTGCCTTTTGCCGTGCAACCAACTGAGGACAAACAGGCGGCAGTCGGCACAGGGCGAACAGCCTCTTTGAGTGGCCCAAAGAGTTGTCGAAGGAAGGGGGTGAACACACATACATGAGGAGAGTGGGAGCACAAAGGAAATTGAGAGGAACAGGCAGATGTGGCAGCTGTCGCTGTGGCACTGACGAATCCATTCCACAAATTTGCCACTGAAGTATGGAAACAAAATCAGCGACAGGAAGCTCATGCAAGCATGAGAAGGACTGTACACACACACACACTCCAACGAGGGTTGTTCTGGCACTTTCTTTGCTTTAAACATTCACATATCATATTCTTATGGAACGTCCTTCGTTAGGTGCCCAAATATCCTGTCAAAAATCTGTAGGTGTGAGAGCAGCTAACAGAAAGGCTGCTTTTGCTGTGTGTTCCCGAAAAATGCCATTAGGAAAATTCAGCATTTCCCTCTGCCCACACACTCTCGCCATCCCGCTCTCTCTCTCTCTCTCTCTCTCTTTTATTCTGTGTGTCTGTTTGCTATCTCTGTTATGCCTGGATCGTTTTTTTTTGTGCCAGAAAATGCCTTGGGTAAACATATGCAGGCGGGATGTTAACATGGCGAATAAAATCTTGCGAGCAGCATCATGAATGGCTCCTCGCTCTGGTGTGTGTGTGTGTGTGTGTGTTTAGTATCTGTGTGTGTTTGCCTAACGAGCTGCATTACTCGCTGATTGCAGCAGCTGAGAAACTGAATCTGAATGTGAATACGCATCTCGTTTCCGGCCCACTTACACCTGCTCCTGGGACTGAAACTTGGTACTGCTCCAGAGATTGTTCCGACTGTTACTGTGACTGCCACTGTGACTGCTGCTGTGACTGATACTGTGATTGCTGCTGTTCACCATCCATTCCATCCCTATTTTCATACATTATATTTTCTCTTTTCATTGCATACTTCTGGCCACAAAATAAACATCGAATTCATGTGCAAATGCTGTAAATATATTCCAGCTTTTGGCATGCTTTGGGGCGTAAATCTCATGTAGAATTGCCATGAAGCTTTGTAGACTTTCGCACTCATTACTTGAGAAATCATTCAAATGCAGCCCCAATGATTCCACAAGAGCCCTGGCATCTTGGTTTTAAATAGATGCAACTCAGAAACCATTAAACACATACCATAAAATAGCTGAGGACCGCAAATATATATCGACTGCATCGCTCGAAAAGAATTGAAAACATTTAAAACAAATATCAGTTCGTCTTCTTTGCTAGTTCTATGGAAATATAGCCTTGGGTTCTCTGTTCTCTGTTCAAAAAATAGTTTGAGCGGGAGGCAAGTATAATTCTGTATTGAGATGAGAGCCAACAGCTTTTATTTTCGATGATTTCGATGTTAGATTTACATGTGTTATGTTTTTTAGGAAATTAAGTGTGTCCCTCCCTGCTTGCAACTCGAGAAATGTTTAACCAGAGTCTTTACACTTTGGCAAAGTGTATTTCTAGTGTCACATTTCGATATGTCAGCTAGAGTCAAAGGGGCAATGGAAAAAGACATCTCGTAGCGCTGAAGAAGCATTGTTTTGACCCCAAATCGAGGGTGGTGCATCGTAAGCTGTTTTGGGGCTAATAAATGCTCAGACTTTAGGAAACAGTATCTATCGATGATGCCGGGGATGGAGAGGAAAAGAGAATATTAAATGTCTCAATGATTGAGAAATTCCAGCCAGGGGGCAGGAATGCCCAAGGAAGGCATAAATAAAATTCATAAAATAAGAAAGAAAATCTGGCTTCAGTTTTCGAGGACATGTGGGAATACCCTAAATCAAGCAGAGATTTTTTCATTGAATGAAAAATGTGTTTCCTCACAAGAGACTCCCAGCTGAGGTTGCAAACAAGTTATCAAATCAGCAAAACCCTCCATGCAGAGTAGATACATGTGAACGAGGTACAATATATGGTTTGTAAACGCCACAGATGTGCGCTTGTGTGTGTCCTTCTGCTGCTGCTGCTGCTGCTGCTGTAAGCCTGCCCGATGGCAAAAGGAAACTAGTGTTTATTTAACTATTAAGCAGAAGTGCACACAGACACAGAGCGACGCACTTAAACGCTTCTTGCAACAGTCTCTCTCTCTCCCTCTCTCTCTCCATCTCTCTCACTTTATCTGTGTGTGTATAAAATATAAATGAAACGACGCCTAATGCCATGCAATACAAAAGTCTCTCTCGAATGTGTTGTGCAATATTTTAGTTTTCAATGGCCTGAGCTTTTATGCAAAACAAACAAACAACTTCCGCTCCCGCTCCCACTCTCTCCCTCTCCCACTCACACATATTTGTGTTTGTATTTAACAGTTGAAGCATTAGCCATTGTCTGCCATCATCCTCTTCTCCCTTCCATCACTCCATGCCCACAGCAGTCCCTCAATCTATGCCGCCTGATGCGGCACAATCTGCTCAATGAATCTCAATAAGTTTGTCCCTGCCACACTGCCTCCTCAGCATTAGTGTGTGTGAGTGCGTGTACGTACATATGTGCTTGTGCCTCTGTTTGCATTCGTGTGCGTGTGCTAAATCAAGCGGTAATTGGTTCTTCATCCAGCATCACCACTGCCACTGCCACTGCCATTGCCATTGCCATTGCCAATGTGCCGCTCTCTTGTTCCTTGCACCGCTGTTTATATAATTGAAACTAACACAAATAACACTGCGAAAGCTTTCTGATTATGGGGATTTGTGCCAGCCCCCAAAATGAGCGCAACCCAAAGAGGCTAGGGGCTCGAGGATGGCGGCAGGTGGAGTCGCCAATGCCCCAAAATGCAGTCTTGCGGCACAGTGGGCATACGACAGGAAGATTGGATACAAAACTACAACCGATACAAACTTTTGAAAGTGGAGATAGTTCAGAATAATCATTAGCCTTTAATTAAAGGATAGCAAATGTTATGGGTGAAGATCGATTAATTAGAAAATTAATGAGAACTGCTTTTTCGCTCAGAATATTTACAAGAAATGCTGCTCGGAATACTCTGTTGCTCGTTATTCCTTAAAAGTAATCCTTAGGTGAATACTTTGCTTCCTGAATACCCAATAAATATGTTAAAAAATCCCGTATATCATCAGATAATAACAATGAATCGGCGAACACGCCTCCATCGAAACTTTTTGCATTCCATTTCCTCCCTGCATCGTGCGGCAGCGCTCATACCCATGCAATATTCTTAATTGAAAATTGAATATTCAGATGAAGGTTGCCATTCCGTTTTTGGGGCTTTAAGGACCCCGTAAAGACGATAAAGAGAACATTTCCGGCCATTCATTTTGCCATTTTGGCCCACTGTACGGCACTGTATTGGCATCCATAAAACGCAAGATTTCCACAGGTTCAGAGTGTGTGTTCGTGTGTGTTTGCGAGTAAGAGGCTGCTGCTTGATTACTGCTGTAAGCCGGTGTGAGAATGTGATTGCCTAAGCTGCTGTTAACTTAAGTATAACAATGATAAGGATAACGTTGGGCGATTGCTGCCTCTCCGAATGGCCCGTTTCGCCCATGCCACACGGGTGTTTGCACCTTATTTATTTGCCACTCTGCCACTCGGCAGCACTGCCCCCTGCCACTTGCTCAAACATTCGTGTTAAGTAATTGGAATGGTTAGGACTGTGATGTTTTGGGCAGATAGTTGGGAGCCTGACTGTACTGCCTTTCTGCCTTTAATTCAGCTTCTTCTACTCGAATCCACTCCTTGTGATTTGCCTAATGATATGCTTGATCCTACCAGAGTGGAGGGCCTGCAGCCGCCGCCCCTCTCTCGCACTCAGTTCATTAGCTGCCAGATCTCCTCCAGTGAATAGGCATTCAAATGATCATCTGAATGCATTCGCACTCCCACTCACCCTGACGGCAACTCAATTAACGTCAATAAATGCAAATTCCATTTAAATGTGAAGCATAATTTTGCATTTGGCTGCTCCCTGCCGCCTGCCGCCTGCTGTCTCCTTGCATTCCACTTTTTTGTGCCCACCCTCTCCCCTTCGTGTGTGTCCTTCTTGTGGAAATGCATTTGCTGCATCCCAAATTACACTTTGAATTAAATGCCACAATTAGCAGACATTTGCCGTAGCTCAGAGACACATCTCAACTGATAGATTGAATAGGATTTCAATTTCAATTTAGTGCCAACGTTTCTTCTGGTATTCGTGACTGCAGCGAAGACGCATCCAAGACTCATCAGCTCGAGAATTTCGAGAGTTCCTAAAATTTCATTTAAGTTTTTCCTTTAGCAGACGAACCTTTGGTCTAGGATCGTTTCAGTGCTCATAGAAGTTAAACCTTAATGCCGGAGGATCTCTTTTGTTCTGCTCTCCATTTCCGCATGATATGTTTCCGATTCCATTAGCCAGCTCGACTTCTGCTCAACCTGTGGGTGTGTGTGTGTGTGTGTGTGGGGGGGGGGGGGGATCTGCTCTGACAGACAGAGTGACAGGCGGGCCGAGCTTCAAAGCGGATTGCTGCGGTGGGAGTCGAAGCCTCAATTAACCCATTATGTCAACAGTTAAACACGCACTCAAAGGGCCCTCAACTGTGATGAGTCATGAATCATTTCAGGCACCACCCCTCACACCTCACACCCCACACACACACACACCACAAGATCAA